AGGACTGTGGTAGGATGGGGCCAGTGTATTGGTATGATAACTCCTGCAAAAGATCTCGTAGAAGTATTTGTGAGAAATCAGCAGTGGTCGGACACCATATATTTGTATGTGTCTAAAATTCAGGTCAGCATGTATTTTCATGTATTTATGCTCAATGAAAAAACAAATTCTGTATCGTGTATTATAAAATAAATGTGAATAAATATTATGTGCTGCATGTCGACATCTGAAACTTTTAAACTACATAAACAGACTTCAATATTACTCAATCAACTCAGGAGGGGAAAGTAGTGCTCTACTCACACAGTGTATACTGCAGGTGGGGAGGTTTTGACTCCTGAGCCTCCCGAGGATGTCTACTCACAGGTACTGGAAAGAGTTTGTTCATTAGTTGAACCTTAAATCTAAGAGGAACAATGGGGTTTTCTTCCAGGTCACAAAGCATGGGTGAGAGTTTGCCAAACAGGGTTCAATGCCTTGTTCAAGTCCACAAAATACAGTTTGTGGAATTGAAAAAGACATTCAACCGCATGCCTCAAGGTATCCTGTCGAGGGTGCTCCAGGATTGTGAGTTGTCTAGCCATGTAGGTCTGAAGGAATGGCCCTCAGCTGAAAAAGGGTGGAGCACCCACTCTGGGTCATGAAGAAGTTACTGCCCCATGTGGAGGAGTTTCTTGGGATCTTCTTCACAAATGAGGGAAGTTTGGAGTGGGAGTGGTCACAGCTGCTGTGATGCTGGAACTGATACTGCTGACCTACAGTGACGAGTTCTGGATAGTGACGGAAAGAATGAGATTGTGGATATAAGCAGCAGAAATTAGCTTTCTCTGAAGGGTGGCTGGCCTCTCCCTCACAGACAGGGTGAGGAGATCAGACATTCGAGGTGGGCTCAGAATAGAGCCGCTACTCCTTCTCGTTAAAAGGAGACAGTTGAGGTGTTTCAGGCATCTGATCAGGACACCCCTTGGGTGAGGTATTCTGGGCATGTCCTACCTGGAGGAGGCCAGTGGTTAGACCCAGGACACACTGGGGAGATTATATCTGTTGGCTAGCCTGAGAAAGCTTCCATGTTCCCCTGGACGGACAGATGGACGAACAGGCGGATGGGTGGATAGAGAAGTTGTAAAAACGTAAAAACATGTAACTGATCAACTGTAACTCAATGGTTTATTTGAAAAATTCCATTCAAAATTGAGCAATTTCACCTTTTGTTAAAGGCCATATAGCCAGTTGCTTAAAGAAGGCTCAGCAGCGGCTGGATTCCTCCCTGTCCTGAAGAAGAATAACCAGGACCAGAAGCTGCTAGCCTTCAACTGCTCCTCAGTGGAGCGCATGCTCTCCTGCTGCCTGGGTGGTTGGTACTCAGGGGCCACTACTGAGAATAGGAAGGCTGCACTGAGGTTAATTAGCACCGCCATCACCAGATCCTTCTGTCACAGGAAAACCAGGCCCATCACAGGTGACTCCTTGCAATCTGCCCACCACCTGTTTGACCCGCTGCCCCGTGGTCGGTGCCTCAGGTCAATCAGGTCCTACACCTCCAGACTCACAAACAGCTTCTTCCCCTGTGCCATTCAGACTGTCAATAAACACTGTTTTCCCATACACCACCCTGCCCACCACCCTCACTAATCTGAGCCATGGTTTGAGTAAAGGATGAGATAATAATAATAATAATAATAATAAATTTTATTTATGAGCGCCTTTCAAGTCACCCAAGGACACTTTACAATAGGATAAAACACTTAGTAAAACAATGGCAGAATAAGAACAATAAAATAAAGCACAAGATAAAATGAACAAACAGTGGATTCACAGTGAATATGCAGATTTGAACAGATGAGTTTTGAGTTGGGATTTAAACTGGGGGAGAGAACCAATATTTCTTATTTCAGGGGGCAGAGAATTCCACAACCTGGGAGCAGAGCAGCTGAAAGCTCTGCTTCCCATGGTGGTGGGGCGGAAGGAAGGTACAGTAAGCTGGACAGAAGAAGAAGAACGAAGTGAACGGGCAGAACAAGTGGTGGTTAACAGGTCAGAAAGGTAAGAAGGAGCGAGGTTATGAAGGGCCTTGAAGGTGAGCAGAAGAAGTTTGAAAATTATCCGGAATTTCACAGGGAGCCAGTGAAGTTCCTGAAGAACAGGGGTGATGTGCTGGTAGGAAGGGGTTCTGGTGATAATGCGAGCAGCAGAGTTCTGAACCAGTTGAAGCTTATGGAGGGAATTTTGGGGGAGACCATGCAGAAGAGAATTGCAGTAGTCAATACGGGAGGTAACAAGACTATGTACAAGAATGGACGTAGACTGGGTGGAAAGAGAAGGAAGCAATCTGTTAATGTTACGTAGATGGAAGTAGGCAGAACGGGTGAGGTTATTGATGTGTGATTTATAAGAAAGTGAACTGTCTAGGATGACACCAAGGCTCTTAACCTGAGGAGAAGGGAGAACTGTGGAGTTATCGATGGTGAGTGAGAAATGGTTTGCCTTCAAAAGGTTGGATTTGGTGCCAATAAGGAGGATCTCAGTTTTATCCTCATTGAGCTTTAGAAAATTAGAGGTAAACCAGGATTTTAACTCGGATAGACATTCTGTAAGGGAAGAAGGTGGGAGGGAGGAATCAGGTTTGCAAGAGAGATATAACTGGGTGTCATCAGCAAAACAGTGAAACTGAAGATCAAATTTGCGGAAGATGGTACCTAGAGGGAGGATGTATATTATAAAGAGAAGAGGGCCTAAAACTGAGCCTTGGGGTACACCAGAGGTGACGGGGAATAGACGAGAGCGGAATGATCTTAGTTGAATGAATTGGGAGCGGTTGAGGAGATATGATTGAAACCAGGCGAGGGGTGTGTCAGAGATGCCGAGAGAGGAAAGTCTGCTTAGAAGGACAGAGTGAGAAATGGTGTCAAAGGCTGAGCTCAGATCTAAAAGGACGAGAATGGTGAGAAGACCAGAGTCAGCTCCGATTAAGAGATCGTTAGTGACTTTAAGTAGAGCAGTTTCGGTACTGTGACATGAGCGAAAACCAGATTGAAATCTCTCATAGATGTTACAGGAGCAAGTCTGTGACCCTCATAACCCAGACCACTCACACGCGGACTCTATTCAGACCAAGTCTTTACTCATGAGCCCTTTGCAACTCATTCTCTAATGTATGTGTCTCTTATTATTGCTATTTATTTCTGCTGTCTACTATTTATATTTGATTCTACCACAGTTGGCAGTTCAAATATTTTATTATATAGTTTGAGAAATTGTTTATTTCTCAAACTGAAAGCAAGTTTTGCTCAGATGGATGAGCATGCAATCGTATGGCGCATAGCTGAGAGTGGCTGGTTCGAGTCCGACCCGCGGCCTTTTATTGGACACATTTCACTGCATGTTGTACTTGTATAACGCATGTGACAAATAAAGGATCTTGAATCTTATACTTTTTTTCCTACTGCACAATCCATGGAAAATACATCTATAAAATA